TCGCCATTGTTTAAGTCGCCGCTTGAAGCTCTTTCAGTTTATCGCAAGTCGCCACCCTGTGATTGCTGTTACCCTTTCAGCATCCGACTTCATCGTTCCTTACATGGCTAGAGTGATAATCTAGGCCAGAGGACTGATATCAATGAACAGTACTCGATGGATAATGGATAAAACTAAAGTTGCGTGAGTATGATATCGTGCTGGCCGAGCGAGCCTCATTCCGATCGGCATGAGGAGTGCACCCAACGAGGTGGGATGGTCTCGTCTTCAGGTCAGTGACTCCATGCACCATGAGCATGGTGGCTTCCAAGCTCCCATGGGTAGGCCGATAGAGAGTCGTGAAATGTTGATGGCGACTTTGGATACATGGCGACTACCGTGTTGCTGCCGTGAGATTTGGGATGGGTAATCCCCATCCCAAGCCGTTGCATACAGCATGGAGTGTATTCTTCACGAATGATCTGAATTTCCCATCCCATGATTTAAGTAGATGGAGGAAATATGAACCAAGAGTAGTTTAGCGGAGAAACCTTGGAATGAGATAGGTTTTGAGGATGGCCATTTTTTTTTTTTACTGTGGTTTCGATGGAGCGTTGGTAAGTCTCTCGAGAAGAGTCAACCAATAGGTTTGTTATGGTAGGTCTTTGCATTAGGGCCAAAATACGAGTATTTGAAGGATGAGGCTATCCCTACTATGGGGATTGATCTGTTTCAAAGCTGAAATAGAGGATGGTGAATGATTCATTTAGCGGCTAGGTTTTTCTGGGACGAAGGGCCGGTTGCACTGCTTCTGTTAAAGCAGAATTCCATGCCAAGTCTGACTTTGGAAGCTTGTCTAATTTTTTTTAGCTGACTTCCTGGTATAGATACCTCAAGGATCTCTCATATTCGCCTACGTGTTCATCATCTTTGAGTTCTGGCCTCGAATTCAGCCAGTTTAGACGCAGTTCAGCGACCAAATCACTAAAAATCTGGAAAGCGAATTGATACAAAAAGTTTGCAATGAAGAATCTGACAGGAAGGAGACAATGAGATGAGATTTCTCGAGTTTCCGTCTATTGATTAGCTTCTGCTATTTTTGAAGACATTTCCAGGAAACGAGAAAATGTTGAACTTCATTGAAGGATTTGGATTGAGCACTGCATCCTCGTCGCTCATGACTATCCACTTTGTAAAAAGGATAAAAGCAAAGCAATTAATAAATAGGTTATTACAGGCAGCTATCGCGTGCTTGGCTTCGCTGTTAACCGATAAGAAACGGAGCTAAGGAGAACATTTGACTTTTCACCTCACCCAATGACATTGACACTGTCGGGACTTCGAAGTGGAGAGTGTGCCAGTATCGATCCAGACAGGAGATAACTCAATGGAAAAGAGATACACCTTTTAAAAACAGTAAAATGGGCAGAACTAGCCGACGGGCAAAAACAGGTCTAGACCAGGGGAGAGCATAGAGAGTGTATAAATGGAGGGGCCTCCCCTATGGCGCAAGGCGCTGCACCTTTCCAGGCACGGCCGCCATCTTACTGAAGTCGCACGAGCAAGGAGTTCAACCTGCGTCTAGCGACAGACCGTCGCCGGCCAATCAGAACGCAGCTCCTGTCTGCGTCATGATTCACGGGCTATCCGGGTATCTCGAACCCATCCCCTAGACTCCCAAGTGGAGATATGGAAAACAATATGCTCATGGTGTCATGTGGTCTTCGGGAAAAGGTAAACTGATCAAACTTGGATATATATTTTTTTAATTCACTCTGTATTAGGTGTACTATTAATGAGTTATTTTTTTTTAAGCATGGATTCTATAGAGTTCTAGTTCCTCATCTGGATCTGATGTCCTCTCCAGGACTCAAACATTTTTATTTTTAGTCCTTGTTCAAAAATGAGCAGTCATGGGTGAGGGTGTCAAAATATTATGTCATGGGGACATTCGCTTCGAAAAATTAAAAAGTTTAAACAATGCAGAACAATTAGGTTTCAGTACAACGTATGACTGTAGGTGTGACGAAGACAAACGTGTGTGAAAAGGTTTGTGTAGGAGCTCTCAAAATTTAGTTTCACTTAAACCGACTGGACGTTTTTTCCAAGTTTATCTTAGAATAGAATAGAAATTAAAATAATTTAAACAATGTAGCCTTTCAGGCTGGTGCTCATGATTAAATATTATTAATGGCATTTTTGACCTTGGGTTCAACAAAGGAAAACCTTTCTAATGATATACAGGGTGTCCATAGTTACTATATACAAAATTCTAACAATTTTCTTCTGCTGAATATGCGGTCAGTGATAAACCAGGCCTAAGTCCATCACTCAGGTCTCTCATGCCAAAACAATGAAAGGTGTCGCGTCCAGGGGCCAGTTGCACTGCCTCAGTTAAGGATATGCAGGCATGATATGCCTGCATATCATGCTTCTTAAGTCTGACTTAACGGAAACTTTGACTTTACTGAGGCAGTACAACTGACCCCAGGTTCTACACACGGCTGCGCAATCTCCAATGGTCACGTCGAGTATTCAAGGGGGGATGATGAATGTGGAACTCATACCTGGCGCATGCGCAAAAAGGGATCACATTCTGATTGGCCGGCGACGGTCTGTCGCTAGACGCTTGTGGAGTTCATAGCAGACACATGGAGAGGGAGAGGGCAGAAGAGGCAACTTGCCCCAGGCTATATGCCTGGGGACATCCACGCCGGGACCCCAATCAATTACGTTGTTCATTTCCACGTGCGAGACTTCATCAAGATGGCGGAAGCACTTGTAAGACAAGCTTATCGCGACCACAGGCCGGCTTTTACAACCGACCAATCACAATCGAGTCAACCTACGACCAATCGCACGCACCTAAAGTGACGTCACGACTACCGTCATGGCATCGCTCATTTCCCGGCTTGATAGGCAAGGTCTAATTTCTTAGGGCAGCAGTGGATCTAATCAGCATAGAGTAGGGTGACCTGATCGTCCTTGTAAAACCGGGACAGGCCGTTTTTTCTGGAACAGCCTCTGACTTTGAGGTACTGCCCTGTTCGGAAAACTATCCAGCGATTGTTCCTTTCAGTGCCACTCATTTGAGGCAAGCAGCTCATCGGCCTATTGTCAACCGTAAAAGGAGGGAAAATGTCGCGGATTTTCCTTTTAAAAAAAATATGGTCACCCTAGCATGAAGTTGTAATAAATCAATGACAGACCTCCTAGATATTTGCGTCTTTATTTAGGCCTATATATCTTTTTTCTAATTGTTCCTATCCTTATCTTGAGAAAGAACATGGAACCCCATATACTTCCGAGGGTATTTCTTACAGTAGGGTGACCAGCCGTTCCGATTTTACTAATGACTACATGCTTGTTATTATGACAAATGTCCAGCGAAACCTGTTACAACTGTTTGGCCCAGGAAAGATCAACCGTGTTGATTCAACACATGGAATCAATCAGTATGACTTCCAGTTGACCACTCTCCTAATAGTTGATGACCATGGAGAGGGAGAATGAATATTCCCAGTACATGAATTATATGAGGGAAAAAGGGGAAGCATATCTTTCGGACACTTCGTTGAATGCGGACTCGACTTTCGAACTCTGTTCCTCGCTCTTGAGATCGCCGAATGAGGAAGCACCGACGCCCACATTCTCAGAATCGCGTTCTCCGCCTGGACAGGAGCGCGTGAGACCGTCTCTTCCTCATTCTGGAGTTCGCAGGCAGAGACTTTACCTGGCCTATGGAGACAGTTGTCCGAAGCGGGACGCTTCAGTGGCACCGCTGACTCTAAAATCCCGGAGACATTTTTGAGTTTATAAGAGACCCGACGGGAATAACGTCTCACAGCGTTTAACCGGTGACCAGTTCGCTGCTGGATGAGTTGTTCACCCTCCCTGCTACGGAATAGGGCAGTGGCATGCGTCACCTTTCCACAGTGACTTGTGATTTTTCCTTTAAGACCGGCTTTCTCGCACATTCTAGGGATAATTTTCGCCAGCCTGTGAATACCTAGAACTGCATTGCTGAATCGTATCAAGTAACCCATATTCGAAAAAGGACGACGATAAAATGGCACACTCTCCCAAGCAATCCTACATACTCCTTGTAAAAGTAGAGAATTCCTGATTCATTGGAGTAACGTCGAATTGTTTTCACTGGAAAATTTTGTTGCTCGATTCCGCCATTTAGTCTTCGGCCCTTTTCTGACGAGCTCAATGTAATCACCTACTTGGTCCTCACCGGAAACGAAGTCTTCACAATTTCAACGAACGATGTTCGTCTCAGCTGCCTTTGTATTCACACCAACGCCTCCATTTCGTATTCCTCCGGGTATTTTTTTTCTTCGCATTCTCCACTAAATTCTCCAATTCCTCTTTTTGAAATATTGAGAATCGAGAAGCCCCATCGACTTCAAGCGGTTCCTAACAATGGTCAAGAAAGGCCACATTCTCGATTCCAGGAAGATCCAATGAGTGCTCCGTCGCAAGACAAGATTATATAATTTCTTGATCATCATCGGTCTCGAACGTGGCTTAATCGACCAACAACACAAGAGCAAAAACCGATGAAAAGCAACGAAACGCCGAAGCCATGTCCCAAGGGTGGCCTTCAGATACCACATTTCAGCACTAATAACAAAAGACTGTCTTCGAACACGAAGAGATGTACCTCATGCCGACCATATACAATACCTGCCACCGAACACATTACATGCAAAGTGATACCTATAATGTGAACCTATTTTTTTTTTAAATCGAAATCCCGACTCAGGAATGCATCTACTCAAACTTACTCGTACCCAAGAGGACGGCACAAAACACATGCGTATCCGAGCAGAGCTCGACCATGAAAGTGCTAAGTCGAAAACCAGCTCGACGAGTGAGAGAGAAGCCAGAAATACGACCTTGGATCAGAATTTTGACCAGAACAGACATTGTTTTCATTCTACTACAGGAAGTGTATAGCATTTGTTGAATTTGGTGGGATCCCAAACCCCTGTAATTTCCTCACCCAGAACATAATGACGTACTGGGTTGGGGCCTGTGATGGGCTTCAAAGTGCCCCAGTTGGGCCCATCAAGAGCCTCTTCATGCATGAAGAGGCTCTTTTTGGATTTTCATTTCTCCCGATGGTGAAAGGAGACTGCAAATCTGGAGCTTCTTTGCATGTGAATTCATTGTTTCATTGTTTAGGGTGAATTTTAAAACAATTCCTGTCTTCCTATTCTTGTTACTTTTATTATAAGGACATTGTAGTAGCCAAATTTTCGCAGAAAATGTAGAAAACATGGGAGATTCATCTGGGCTCATTAGTCTGAACATGATATGTCCGTGTGACCTCCATATTGATTAATCACATGGTGCAAATGGAGAAAATAATAATGGAAGAATAACAAGGAAGACTGCTTCTGTGCAAACAAAGTCTTTTTTCATGTTAATTGGAGTATCTGGATTTTGTATGGGTGTGCAGAAATATTGTTATAGAAAATCATCCATGCTGCTGTATACAAAATATTAAGTTGTCTATAAAGCTTGTTGAAGTCTCTTTCTGGGATTGCAGATTAACATTTCTTGGGTGAGAGCAATATTTAGTTGGGTACATGCAGTTATGGGATGCCTGAAATGGCCCTTTTAATGGTTCATGCTATCACCTAATTCAAACTGCTTAACAAGTCTGTTAATAGTCTTGCTGGATGATGCATTCTTGGTCTGAAATGTTGTCAATACTGTATTTGCACACTCAAAGGTGTTTTATTTAGCTTGAAGTACCATTTTACAATAAAAACAATTTCTGCTCCTCTGAAAGATGCCATATTGCTTCAGTGCTGCCACCTAGATTTTTTTTTACAAGATTCACCCATGTTTTGGAACCCACAGGAATCCCCCATGCCTTCATATTCTGTGTAAATTTGGTCACTGAAATGTTATTACAATAAATGTTATGTGGATTGGAAACTTGGATATGATCCCTGTTTTAAAATCACCCTGTACTTGGCTTTTTAGTTGCTCCATCTGTTGATGAAGGACCAAATCATCTTTCCTTCTCTTTTTCTTCAAAGCTTCAGACTTTCCACAGGACATATGCACAATATGTTCAATCTCTAACTTTCTCTTGAGACCCCAAGCGGCAGACATCAAGTTACACCATCATGTTTTTAATCATCATGTTTTTTTTTTATGGATGTAAGGCTGCATGGAAGAGGTAGAAGTCATATGTTTTGATAATAAAAAAGAAAGCAATAGTAGTTTTTGTGCAGAATATAATATAGTATTCCTTATTTAAGAGCAAAGGAAAACTTTTGTTTTGAAGTGATCACAATTCCTCCTTACTTGCTTTTATTAGTGTCTTACCTCTGATTGCAGGTATGAATGGCTGCCCTGCTTATCATGATGTTGTTTTCAGCAGGAGCTGAAATGATGAAATGGGATTGTTCCTATGATTTGTTTTCTTGGCATTTACTTATACAATTTGAACAACATGCTCAGGTGTTTCTGTTGCTCAGGTCATTTATGGTTATCTCTGATAATTTATACATGTCTTGCTTCCTAATTTGTTATGTGCAATAATACATGGTGATTTCTTCAACATCATAACAATTGAAAATTGCATAAGTGATGTATTGCTGAAGCTAAGGACAGGAAACTTGGTGAAAATCTCAAGCCCATAGGGAGATTGATTGGTGAATGAAGGAAATGTTCAGTATGTTCAACTCTGTTAAACGATGTGAAATAGGCACTGGGTGCAATTGGGGAAGACTGCCTGCGTGGCATCGTCAAAAATGTTGAAAGTATCCCTTAGTATGGATTCTAAAGTTGTCTGTGTGTGATGTTGAGTCACTCTTTTCTTTAAGCATCATCATAGTAACATGGATTGAAGTTGCTTCACCAGCTGCAGGACCATTTCCTTTCTTGGTGCTGCACATGTCACATTTTGAGTACAAAACTTTAACAGCACACTAACCACTCTATCTCCATGATTATGGAAGCATTCTAGCATCAAGACCCTGCAAATTGCAATGTTGCTACATTGTCGCTACCTTGTTTGAATAAGTTCAGGGTTCAATATATGCTTGTCACTGTTGCTAAGTTTTGCACTTCCAAACCAGTGGATGTGGCAGTCGTTCCATAGGGTAAAACCATCCAAGTTCAGACAGTACCTATATTTGTACACCTTAGAATAAATTATTATAAAAGAAAGTATTTACAAGGTCACCCTCAGAAACAGCTTTTCCAAGCTTTGAATAACTGTTTGTTTTGAAGAGGGAGAGTTCACCAATGCTTGGTTTTGTAGCAATATACAGGGTGTCCCTTTTATTGCGGACGATTTTAATCGCGTATAAAATTCTTCCTACTTGAGCAAACTAAAAAAAATTTTCACAATATTTAGAATGTCTTTTTAGCATTTATTGTGACAAAGTTTCAGCCAAAACAAATTCACCAATTACAAGCTATGAACTTCAACATGACCTTCGTAGATTTCAGGCAATTTTTCTAATTGTGCCTGGTATTCAAGCAGCGTTTTCTGGCGCATTTCAATGGTAATGTCTCCAAACGCAGTGGAAATACATTCCATCCTTAATGCCAAAGAAAAATTTAGGCCAGAAATTGAATCACAAGGATTGGCTGATGATCTGGTCTTCATGCAAGATGGTGCCCTGCCTCATTTTGGTAAAGAAATTTGTGCCTGACTGAACGAAAAGTTTCCAGATCCATGGATAGGTCGTGGATCACCAACAATGCCCTGGCCGCCTATTCTCCTGACTTAACACCATGCGACTTCTTCATGTGGGGCTTCGTCAATTCGAGAGTCAATGCGACCAAACCGAGGGACATTCCCGAATTGAAGGAATGTATTACTGCTGCGTTTGGAGACATTACCGTTGAAATGCGCCAGAAAATGCTGCTTGAATACCAGGCACGATTGGAAAAAGTGCTTGAAATCGATGGGGGTCATGTTGAAGTTTATAGCTTGTAATTGGTGAATTTATTTTGGCTGAAACTTTGTCACAATAAATGCTAAACAGACATGTAGATATTGTGAAAAATTTGTTTAGTTTGCTCAAGTAGGAATAATTTTTATACACAATCAAAATCATCCGTGATAAATGGGACACCCTGTACATGATGGTGCCCAAACTTAGATGGTTTTTCTATACTTAAATGGTTTGGCATAAAAAACACCCTGTTAGTTCAACTTTGATCTAAATGAATTTAGTTTGGTGAGTATACTTCATTACTTTTGATTCACTTTCGTTAGACTATCTATTCATGATTATTCTATCATGGACAATGGTTCGAGATAAGGCAATAGAGTTCTGAAGAGACATTTTCCTAAGTGTAAGATGTTTCAGTCAGATGTGCTTTTCCTGTCATGTTTCACTCTTCTTGTGCAGTCTTTCATGTCCCTGGTCTGGAGTGTCAGTGCCATGGGCTTTGCTGTCATTGTCGGTGTATCATCTTAGTACTGAGTGGTGGAGTCTTGGCTCAGGCTTACTAAGTATTGTGTTTTCAAAACGGTTGGTTGGGAAACATTTTCCCCCAAATTTTGAAGGTTTTTCCTCAGCCTTGGCTGCAATTACTGTGACCCGTTGAGCTTGTGGCGGGTGAGTGAGTAATACCTGTGGTTAGACCTAATTCCATTTCTCTGGCTCTGGTTATTGAGAAAATGAGGCCATTTCCCACATCTACTGCATATGTGGTATGTTTGTGTTCATGCCATCTTTATCTATGCATCTGCAGCATTTCTCCAAGTTCATTGGGCTATTGAAGAGGCTCTTGTTCCTTGGGATAGTTATCACTAGTTTTTCCTCAATAAGTCCTTGTTTTCTTGTTGAATTCTGAGTGTGATAGTCATCATTTTTAAGATTGATGGCTTGTCTGGTCTGTATGGGGAGGCCAGGCCCTTAATCTTAGACTTATTGTTTGTGCTGAGGTTCTTCATTTTCCATGTCATTTGGTTGAAGTGAATTGTTGAAGTTCATTTTGAAGCCCCCTTCATGACTGGCCATTCACACAAATTGTAACACTATCAAGGTCATTGTTCACTAAAGCAGAATACAATAAGTTTATTTTCAAATCATACTATATTTCTCATCATTAGTCCTGCCCCACTTCCAGGAATGTATTTAAAAATGGAACTTTGCTATTGTAGAGGATGTTCATAATTTCGTGCCAATTTAGTGTAAGGGGGGAAGCTCTCTACATCATTGTCTTTACATAATGGTTTAAAGTAAAGATACAGGTTGAAGGGAAGGGAAGGAGAACTTCGCAGTGGTTGAAGAAGGGTTGCCTGACATTGAGACTGCTTGGTTCGCTAATGAAGTTGACCTCCAGCCCATGACCAATCAAGTTGATGCTTGTGATGTTGCCGAGGTGAAAGGTGGTTCCACTTGTCATCCTGGCGACTGAAAGGGAGTTGGTGCCAGTATCACCTGAATGTTGACTCCTATACTTAAACTTTTCTGAATGGACCAAGTCAAGCTCAGAAAGAAACTTGTTACTCAGAAAGTTCATGCTTTAGAGAGTCATGTGGGTTGACTTGTGTTTATTTCATTGACGTCCACAGACAGTCCTGAGACCGGTATGAGCAGATGATGTCACGTCCAAGGGTTTGGAGTTCAAGAGCCCCTACATGAGGCTTAGATCCATCAAAAGGAACAGTCCTGGACAAAGCTCCGAATGATGTTCCAGTTGGCACCTGCTCTGCTTGAACCCCTCACTTGAGGGGCTAGCAATTAGTTCATCAGAAAGACCATCTGCTTCCTTTGGAGGTAACAGATTATCATACTTTCTGCTAAAATTTATTGCTGTACGTCCAGGTGTGAAGCCTTTGTTACCAGCCACTACTGCAGCTGTGTCACCAGTTGGATCAAAGAAAACTAGGTAAAAATGGAGCCATATCTGGCCCAAAATGCAACACCATAGGAGATCCATCAGTGTTGTCATTGAGGAAGACTACACCTTGCCTGAGCCTGAATTTTTTGAGGTTGCTTTGTCCCAGTGAAGTCCCAACATCAGACCCATTAATCAATCAATTATTCCCCTATTCTAAACATCTGCATCACCAAAAGTTTCTTGAAAGGGAAACTTAAAAAGTAAAATGTGAGATTTTTCAATACAGAGATGTTTCAGGTTCATTAAAATCAATTTAGTTTTGCCTGTGCAGAGTCCTTTGCAAGAAATCATTTTATTCATCATAATCCTGAAAGTTGATTCATCCTGTTGCCATTGATTTGAACATTGAACCTGAACACTTCAGGTTTTGTAAAACTGAATTATACTGAGCTTGAAATGAACCAAACCTGAAAAGACCACACCTTGAGACTATTTCACACTCCATGAACTAGACCTGAACTCATCTTAAAATTTCATTGGGTCTCTGCTCTCTAGAAGTTGCTTTAACTGTTTGATGTCCAGGTGCACCACATGGTGTGCTTTTGCTATCATGTCATGTTTTTCATTTTTCATTTTTTTTTTCTCTATAGGTTAGTAGAACAATGTGTGTGGTGGTTATTGTGTTGAATTAAAAAAAAAATTTTCAAGGCTTAAATCTTAGAGGTGACTGTGGAATCATAATATGAAGGTGAGGCATAATTTCTGTGTGTAGTTGAAGATTAAGCTTGATATACTGGGTGGCCGCAAAACAAATCCTCCTGTTTGATGCTTTTATAAAACTTGCTTTGGATGATGTAGGATCATAATGTTTTCGTATCAAATTGGAAACACCACAGAATTTGTTATTGGAAAGTTAAAAGTACCTGGGTTTGTCTTAATAAAAATGACATTTGTTCAATGTGGAGTCAAAAAGTTTGTTTTCCATGCAAGAGGTGAATGGAGTTTTAGCACTACTTGAATGATTTCTCTCAATTAATGCCACAAAGACTGCTTTTTACCCAATGTCCCTGTCCAAGTTTTCGACACATTGTAGGGTAGTGCTAATGTTGTACATTGTAGCATCTGAATCATTACGCAGAATCCTATGATGAGATCTGGCCAAAATATATGCATTAATGGTGTCAAGGCAGACAACCAAAGTACATGAAACTTTCAGAAAACAAATTGTTTGATGTTTCAACATTATACAAAAACATCACAAGCCTAGATCATCCACTGCAGATTTTATAAGGCATCATCAAGCCATCAAATCTAGATTAAACAGTTTTGATGACATTTTATTCTACAGAATCTGGACTTAATTTTTTCAAATAAAGTTGCAGTGGTGTTATGAATTGAATATGAATAATACAATAAAACCTAGCTTGTCTGGACTAATTGAGGGGGGGGGGGCAGGATTAGGTGGAAGTACAAACAATTCTAAATATATAGAAAAAAACTTATTACATATGTAATTGAAGCATTATAAACCTATAAAATCCAAAACAGTACTTTATATTAACTTTGTAAATGCTAAAAGTCATAAAAAAGAAAAAATTCCTGACACTTCCTCAGACCTCTGCACCACCTTGTGGATAAGCACAAACTTACGTCACGTGGTCATACCAGACCAGACCTTATCTGGATTGACTGAGGTCCAGACCAGTGAGGTCTGGATTAGCAAGGTTTCACTGAACAAGTCAACTGCCCATTGACTTGTTCCCTTGAGTTCTGCAATATCTGGCTTGCCCTGAAGGATTCATTCTTGTTGGATCCCTACAGGTAAAAGTTGAGTGGACTGTGGCCTGGGGATTGTGCCGGCCACTCGATGTCATCTCAGTGAAAAATGAGCTTCTGTGTGAATCTCCCTCTCAACCACTCAAGACAAATGTGGGCAGTATGGCAGGTTGCCATTCTTGCTGGGGAAAAAAATATTCCATTAGGGATGCACTTATGGCCAAAAAAATGTCCTTTTTAAGCGATACATGATATGCACAAACTGAATATTTTTTTCGAGAAAGGTGGAGCACCCTGCCATACTGCCAGAATTTATATAGAGTGGCTGAGACAGAGATTTACTCAATGGCTCATTTCTCACAGAGATGACTGAGTGATTGGCACGAGCCCCAGACCTTGGTCCACTCAACTTTTACCTGTATGGAAACAACAAGAAGGAATCCTTCAGGAAAAGCCAGATATTGCAGAACTCAAGGGAATGTGTCAATGGGCAGTTTAAGCATTGCACAGGGAGTACTGAAGGCAGCAGTGCAAAACTTCTCTCAATGTCTTTGAGACTGTTCTGCAGCTTGAGGTGCTCATTTTGGACTTTTTTTTCCACTAGAACAAACATTTTTTCTCTGTAATTTTGATTTTGTTTTAAGTGAATGTTCATTATAATAAAGAAGTCAAGGGCAATTCAAAATGGTAAACATTTTTGTGAAACACCTTGTGCAAGAACGAAATCTTTCTGCTGTTTTTTTAATTCACTCAAGGTACCTTTTTTAAGCTTAGGATGGTAACTGAAAAATTTAGTCTGGCAGTGCTAATTTATTAATGTAACCCCTTATTTCAGGGTTTGTGGGAATTCTTGGATGAGGTTAGAAAATTTATGGCTAATTGAGTGTAATATTTTTCTCTGTGTCTCCAGGTGAGTCAAAGCATCCCTGTGATATGGTTCCTTATGAGCATCTGGGAGGAGAGATGTGAAAGTGCAAGGAGACTTCTCATGGAGCTCCCAGAAGATACTCTGCTACTTCCTTCACTCTGGAAAGCTCAACTGCTGTGAAGCTGCCTGCTGAACTCCTCTCTAATTTCATGTTTTTCTGAAGTTTCAGGGGGCCTATACTAGCTGTGAAATGCACCCATGCAGTATCTGGCTTTATGACTTCGATTACTTTTACTATATTCTGATGATTGCAAGTCACATTTGACCTTTCAACTTTCAATTTTTTATATACTGCTCTCCGATAGCCTTGCTACACTTTTTCATAGTGAACATTTTCAGCACCAATGACATCTCCAAAAATAATTTCATGTCCTCAGCCAGCTTAATCTATTACCTTTGCAAAGTGCTCACTCATGTCATAATTTGTGCCATGGTTAGTACAAAATTCACTCAAAATCCATCTGGTATGGTTTTTCACCATGGAGCAATTGAAATCTGTCCCCATACCCATTGTTGGCAACCCTATTTCTCTTGTTACATGTGATTCAGATGCATGTTGTCTCAATGCACCATTAAGAAAATACTCCTGTCATTGTCCTCTGAAGCTCTTGCCACTTATTTTCATGACAAAATCTCTCTCTGGTACCTCTGGCATCAGGAGGGAAAAATAAAATCATCAGATAATTCATTCTCTCAGCTGTGCAACGTGCTCACTAACAGGGTTTAAGCTACCATATCTCACAAAATTTGCCTCAAAAGCAATATGGTCAAGAGAAGAAATCATCAGATGAATTTATCTTTTGATGTCGTAGGTACTGAGTGGTATTTACATGAGGTATCATGAAAAAAAGTACCAATGGCAGGAATCTTTTCCTCAAAGTAAATAGAATGTACATGTTTCTTGGATGGTGTGCAAGAGAAGTTGGCTTGCCGTACATGTTTCTTGGATGGTGTGCAAGAGAAGTTGGCTTGCCGTACATGTTTCTTGGATGGTGTGCAAGAGTTGGCTTACCAACAATTGGTTGTTGGTAAGCCAACAACCAATTGTTGGTAAGCCAACAATTGGTAACAATTTTAATTGTTCCACCATGAAAAACCAAACCAGATGGATTCTGAGGCAAATTTCAGATGAACAAAAGCACGAATCTTGGCATGAGTGTGCACTTATTACAAGACTTTTTGAGGGCAGTGTCTGGGAACCTTAACATGTTTTGCTTGTTCCTGATTAGTTGTGAAATTTTGTTAAATAAATCTGTAAATTAATATACACTGTACAATGCAGAATGGTTGCTGCTGTTGCAGGCAGGTAATATTTAGCATTGGTATGTGAAAGTCTCATGCATTATGAGTGCTCTCTAAGAATAAGTGCTTGCTTCATGTAAGTTGATTCATCATGATACCATGTGCACACTACATGGTTTATTGTTCTCTTTAGGTACCTACTGATAACAGATTGCAAATTCCTCCCTGTACCCTTTTTCTGCAATATATTTTGGTGCTTGGTTTTCAATTTCCATTTCACAAGCAGATGTCGGCTCTGCTCTGCTAAAGTTGACATCAGGTGTGAAACATGACTTTTGGATATTATGAGGATATGGTTAATTAGGATCAACATTGCATTAAAGATTTCCCAAGACTCCCATGAATACAGTGATATGAAGAGCAAAAGTTGTAAAATGAACTAGAAACCCTAAACCAACCCAACTATGCAGACTAACAAGTGCCTGAAATTGTCTCTGCTAGGAAATGGAAGAAAAGATGGTTAAATCACATGTAAAGTCAAAAAGCATGGGAATGCAAAATATGCAGTAAGAATCACCATTCAAGAGTCATAATGACTCTTGAATGGTGATTCTTACTGTTTCACTGTTCATGTAAGATTTGCTGCACACTTGCAATCGTGAGTTCAAACTCAACCCATTAACTTTGAAATCCGACTACAAGTTTATTGCATCAATTTTATGCGAAGAAGATCTACTGGGTGTCCCATAAGTTTCTTTCCATATGGGTATTGCAATAGCTGTTTTATATGAGCACCATTTTGGGTTATACACTTCCTAAGGTTTCTGATCCATTTAAAATAAATTTATCTGAGAACTTCAGGTTCAATGTTTGCTCAAGCTGTAATGACACAATGCTTCAAGTGATGTAAGTCTCTATTTTTTCTGAATACATGATTGACTTGAGTGTCCCCACAGATAAAAATCTACAGGTGGTAGATCTAGTGGTCTTGCTGGCCACTTTGTTGATCCTCTGTGTCCTATTCATAAATTTTGGAATTATTCATCCAACCAGTCTCACTTTAAACTATTGAGCTGGAGCCCCATCATGCTGGAAGAAAGGAGAAAACTCTCCATCTTGGTTCAAAAAAGAAGGCATCGCTTCATTTAGTAACATGTCAAGATGATTTTCACCATTCACTCTGTCTTCAAATAAGACACTGCCTACAGTTTTGGCATTCCAAATTCCATACCACATCATCAAATGTTGACCACCTTGTTTCTTATTTAATCAAACCAGTGCAAGTTGTGATCACTTAGGTATCTGTAATTATGCTTCCTAACTTGTAACTTATTAATATTGAACCTGAATTTCTCAGACAGGTTGAGTTTGAATGGATCAGATGACTTGGGAAGTGTATAACTGAAAGTTGTGCAAGAAACAAAGCATTATTGTGATTCCCCTATGGGAAGAGACTTGAGACCTGTAAAATGAAGTTGTTGAGTGATTCTGTTCTATGACATAATTTCCAAAATACATTAAATATAACTTTTACACAAGGAAGAGGTATGTGTAGGTGCACGTCACTTTTGTGGCTACCTAGGATGACATGCTGTTCTCTTCACTCTCCTTGGGAAGCTTCTCATTATACAGTTACCAAAGTCCAGTCAATTTTAAACTTGATTAAGCTTTCCTCTCATATATTGTTCTCTCATGATTTTTCTAAAGTACACCTCTCATCACTGTCCCCTAATGGAAAAGTGAGGTCTAAGTATGAACTCTTTCTTAGGAAGAGCATGACACAGACTGATCATCCTTGTTTTGGTGTGTTCAGACTATTATTATGATTTAAGGAATTGCTTCATTGCTTTTAGTGGTGAAATCCAATTCAATTTTTGCTAATTTTCAGCCTTTGCCTCCTGGTTAACTTTTTTTTTTTTTTGTTCCAAATTGCATCATCGTGGCATGCAGTCATCAGGTTATTCGTTGCTCCAAAGAGACTGCTGCATTGAAATTCCATTGAAGGATGACCTTCAGAAGGAAAATTGTCATAACCATACCATACCAGACATCTTGTTGCTCCAAATCAATTCTGTAGCAGTGGAACTAATTAGATGTTAAATTTATGTCCTTTTCTATTATACCATTTAAGAACTAGAGAAAGCACACATTCAACTGAAGCATGTCTGTCAATACCTCAATTGCTGAAACTTGTGTTTCAGCTAGAGGTCTGTTGGTATCCAGCCTCATAGGGAAATGAGGACATTTTTAACGTTATGGTTAAAATTAGTCTTATATTTCATGCTCTACATTGGGGATTCCCCAGGTTCTTGAGTGCTTGACCTCCATACTGCTTTGTGTTACAGTTGTGAAATAGAAAGGAAATGCTGCTGGGAGTTATTCTTTACTTTCTGAATGAGTACTGGGAAGTAGAGTATTGATCAGAAGTATTAATCCTGGATTCAAGATTATTATACCATGTACCTTCTTTGTTTTCAGGTATTTTGGAGGATTGGTGGATGGACCTGGCCCTCCTTAGTGACTCCTCGATCATCAGAGCAAAGCTTGCAGTGAAGAATTCCATGCAAATTTTTTCTTTTGTGCTGACAGTAGAAGGTAGCATTGATGATGGGATGTTGTACTTTGCAGAAATCTTGCCCTTCTTCAGTTTTCCTTTCTCGACTTCTCACAGAATGTCTATTTTCAGTTCAATAGACATGCACTTCCTCTTCTTGGCCAGATGTGCCATTTCACTACTGCTAATATATAGTGAATACATGAACTTTTACCACAAATCCATGAAAACTCTGAGGAACAAGCAAACAAAGTCCAGAATGCAGAATGACCCAGAAAGTCCTCTACTCAATTTATAGTTTAGGAGGCCAGGGATGCTGTGGGAGATGTCTTTTTAATTTGACAGGCTAATCCCTGTGGAACAGATGTGGGTGATAATAAATAGTCTAGGGCCAGATATGGGTGAAGGATTAAGAAAAGAATTTGAACCCTTAATTGAAAAAAAATAAAATAAAAAGCCATTAAAAATTATAATCCTTCACTTGCCACACAGGAAATTTCTGTCAGTAGCATAAGTTGTGCAGAGTGCTATTCAAGAAATCATTTTATTCATCATAATCCTGAAAGTCAAATCATCCTGTTGTCATTGATTTGAACCTTGAACCTGAATCCTTCAGTTTTTGTAAAACTGAATTATACTGAGCTTGAAATGAACCAAACTTGAAAAGACTCCTTGAGACTATTTCACACTCCATGAACTGGACCTGAACTCATCTTAAAATTGCATTGTGCTTCTGCTCTCTAGAAATTGCTTTTTTAGAAACACCTCAGGATTTTTAGAACTGAGCTTGAACTGAACCTTGAAAAGCACACCATATGGTCTGCTTTTACTGTCAAATTATGATTTTGAGCCAGCTGGTGGGCTATCAAAAAGTTGAAAGAACTTCTAGAGAGCACAGACAAAAAGCAATTTGAAGATAAGTTCAGGTCTAGTTCATGGAGTGTGAAACAGTCTCAAGTTGTCAGTTGACTAGCTTGCTGGCTTGTTGAGGATCCAGCAATGTGACCAATTGTATACTCTGGCAATCCATAAGCTTCCTTATAATGTGTGCAACTCAGAACTTGCTGTTGTGAAGTCTAATAAATGAGTGCAGGAAGGACTTGAGGCAATTTTTATTGGCTGGCTGGGGTTTCTAACATGGATTACACAGCAGGAGTTCCAAGAGCAGATGGGAGCATGTATCCAGTAAAGTTTTACTTGTACTTGGTTTAGGAAGTACTGGTGTTATTCATGATAGCAGTCCTGTTATGGTTAAGGAGTTGCTCATTTTCAAGGTATCCTTCAGTGACATACTTTCTTTGATTTTCATTATTTGAATGCAGAATTAATCCAGTTTCATCTAGTCATAATTATACAAGAACTAAATTTTTTTGTTGTTCTTTTAATCCATAAAGGGCATTTGTTTTAAGTTTCTGATTGTTACTGAAAATTTGAGTTGGACTGCTAATTTTGTATTTGACACCCTTCATTTCAGGGTTTGTGGAAGTTCTTGGATGAGGTTATTATTATAATTATATGTAAGATTATAGATTTATAGATAATTGAGTGTAATCTCTATACAGCCCTGTGATGCTTCTCCATATTGAAAAGAAAGAGCAACATTTGGGAGGAGAGATGTGGAAGTGCAAGGGGGCTTTTCTTGGAGGTCCAGGAAGACACTCTGCCACTTTCTTTGCTCTGGAAAGCTCAACTGCTGTGAAGCTGCCTGCTGAACTCCTCTCTCTAATTTCATGTTTTTCTGAAGTTTCAGGGGTCCTATACTGGCTGTGAAATGCACCCATGCAGTATCTGACTCTTTGACTTTGTTTTCTTTTGGTATATTGTAATTCATGCAAGTCATATTTGTGTCCTTTTAGTTTTCTGTTTTTATTTACTGCCCTCCAAAAGTCTAGCAACACCTTTTTCATGATCCAAATTTTTAGCACCTGTGAAATCCTTGAAAATATTAATATTCTCATCCAGCTTAATCTGTTACCTTTGCAAAGTGCTCTCTCATGTCATGATTTGTGGCATAGTTTGTCCAAAATTCTCCCAGAATCAATCTAGTTTGGTTTTTCATAGTGGAATGGTTTAAATCTGTCCCCATACCTATTGTTGGCAAGTCTCTTTCCCTTCTTACATGCCAATCAGATGCTTGTTTTCTCTATGCATCATAGAGAAAATACTCCTTTTGTCCTCAAACTCTAGTCACTTATTTTCATGATACAAACTCAATACCTATGACATCAGAAGAGAAAAAATTAATTAATCAGATAACTTATTTTCTCAGCTGTACAAATTAATCTCTAACTTGGTTTGAGCTACCTTATCTCAAAAATTTGCCTCAAAAGATAAATGGTTAAGAGAAGTCATCAGGTGAAATTTTCTTTTCTCTTGATGCTGTACGTACAGAGATTTTATATCAAGAAGGAAGTGGCAAGTGTATTAGAGGCGAGCGACAGGATTCTTTTTCTCAAGGTACATAGAGAAAGAATGCTTCTTGCTTGTCATGCAGGAGTAAAAGTTGGCTACCCATGATGGGTATGGGGATGGATTCTGAGGTGAATTTTGGACAAAGAAAGGGACAAGTCATAACATGAGTGGGCACTTGTTGCAAGACTTGGTGAGGGAACCTTCACAAGTTTTTACTTGATTCTGATTAATTGTATAAATTCGTTAAGTCTTTTATGCATTGTGTGAATATACAAAATAATCTGTGAATTGGTACAATGGAAAATATTAGTTGCCTGCCACAGCAGCACCTTCACATTGGCATGTGAAGGTCTCATACATTATGAGTACTATCTAAGAAGTTTCTTGCTTGCATCATGAAAGTTTATTCAGTGTGATACAGTGTACACACAACATGGTTTATTATTTTCTTTAGGTTTCTAGTGACAGGGTTGCAAATTTCTCCCTGTGTTCTTTCTGTGCATTGTATTTTGATGCATGGTTTTCAATTTCCGTTTCATGAACAGTTGTCAGCTCTCCTCTGCTTAAGTTGACGTCAAGTGTGAAACATGGTTATTCAATGATGTGGCTAATAAGGATCAACAGTGCATCATAGATGTCCCAATACTCTCATGAATAGTGATATGAAATGTGAAGGTAGTAAAATGAACTGTAAACCCTAAGCCAAGTAACTGTGCAGATGAACAGTTGTATGAAATGTTGCCTCTGATAGGAAATGGAAGAAAAGGTGATTAAATCACCTGTAAAGTCAAAAGGCATGGAAAAGCAAAATATGCAGGGTCTTTCTAAATTAGGTCGCAATTTTGAACAATTATATCTCTGAATGAATAGAGCTGTGAATATGAAAAAGTGTATTTTATCACTAAAGACCTGAACATTTTTCCCATTACATTTTTCACAAATGTTCTATGTGGTGTCCTCATGTAACAGACAATGTCCCATCTGTACAAGAGTTCCTCCCTCACATGCTTACTCATGGCTGCATGACAGCAATTTGACCCCACCAAACTTTTTCCTGTGGGCTACCTCAAGGATCAGGTGTACCAGTCCCCCCTACCATGAATCATTGATGAACTGCAAGCAAGGATTATTGCAGCTGTTGCCAAAGTTAATGTGGACATGATTACTTGTGTGGGATTAACTTTTGTACAGATGGGACATTGTCCACGTTACACAAGGACACCACATAGAACATTTGGGAAAAATTTTTCAGGTCTTTAGTAATAGTGTACTTTTTTAATATTCACGGCTCTATTCGTTTCAGAGATATAATTGTTGAAAATTGTGACCTAATTTAGAAAGACCCTGTATTATGAATCTTGAGTGGTGATTCTCACTGCAGTTTCATTGTTCACATAATATTTGCTGCGTACTTGCATTCAGGAGTTCAAATTCATCCCATTGACTTGGGAATCTGACTTCAGGTTTATTCCATCAATTTTATATGAAGACAAATCTACAAGGTGTCCCATAAGTATCTTACCATAGGGAAATCAGAGTAGGTGTTCTATATGAGAACCATTTTGGGCTCTACACTTCCTAAGTTCTCTGATCCATTTAAATTCAATGTGTCTGTGAACTTCAGGTTTGATGTTTTTGCACAAGCAATGACACAATGCTTCAAGTGATGTAGGTCTCTTATTTTTTCTGAATACGTGATTGACTTGACTGTCCCCACAGGTAAAAATTGAGATGTGACAGATCTGGTGATCTTGCTGGCCATTCTCTTGGGCCTCTGTGCCCTATTAACGAATTAGGAAATTGTTCATACAACCAGTCTCACTTTAAAATTGTAATTAGCTGGAGCCCTGTCGTGCTGGAAGAAAGCAGGAAGCTCCCTTGAAATAAGTGTCAAAAAAGGTTATTCATTTAGAAACATGTCAAGGTAATTTTCACCATTCATTGTGTCTTCAAATAAGACAGTTTTTAACCTACAGTTACGGCATTCCAAATTCCACACCTCACCATCAAATGTTGACCATCATGTTCCATAATCAGTTCAAACCAATGCAGGTAGTGATTACTCCTTATCTATAATTCAGCTTGTTAAATTGGAACTCTGTAATTTGGTAGAATCTGAATTTCTCAGACATGTTGATTTTGAATGGAGCAGAAGACTTGGGAAGTGTATATGGGAAAGTGGTGCAAGAAATGGAACATTATTGTGATTGCCCTATGGGAAGAAGCTTAAGAGACAACCTGCTTCAAAGACTTAGTTTCATTGCTTTTCATGGTGAAATCCCATCCAACCTATTCAAACTAATTTTCAGCCTTTGCTTCCTTGTTACTCTCTTCCTTTTTGTTAAAAATGGTGTTTTGCCAAGCAGTCATCAGGTTATTCAATATTCATAGAGACTGCTGTTTTGAAATTCCATTTAAGGAAGACCCTCAGAAGGTAAACTGCCTGTGTATTACCATGCCCAGATATCTTGTTGCTCCAAATGGATTTGTTGCAGTGGAACAAAAGGTTTTAAATTTGTCCTTGTCTCTTGTAATATTTAAGACATAGACATGCTTCAAGGTGAAAGTGTTTTTTCTAGCAATACCTCAATTGCTGAAACTTGTTTCAGCTAGAGGTCTGCTGGTATCCTGCCTCATAATTTTTATTTTCGCCTCCAGGTGAGCAATCAAGCACATACTTAACAGGAAAGTAAGTACATTCATTAATTATCGGTTAATGTTATTCCCATAGATGTGTGGAATCCCCAATGTAGAGCATGAACTATGAGTTCTTGACCTCCATTCTATTGTCCATCCAATATTTCAGTTATTGAGTCTCCCAAAAAAAAGCACTGGTAGAACAAAAAAAGTCCATTGGTACCTCTTAGTTCAAATTCGTTCTGCAGTTTTTGCTGCAGGTTCATCTGTATATGTTGGGTCTGAGTAGCTGAGATCATCCCTAGCTTCGGATTTCGAATACCGAGCAAAACAGGTGAAGACATGGTGAGTTTGTGTGAACACGAATGGAAAAGTTGTATCTGAAAATGCTGTACAGTACAGCATTTTCACCATCTGTAATGCATTGCGGTTTGTAATGTTCATTTCATTTTCACCTGCAGAAATGGAAGATCTTCAAGAGCAGAATATCATGAAGAGTGGAAAGCACATTCAATCACTCAGATGCTCCCAAGTTGTCCCAAGCTGAAAAAGTGCCCAAGTGGCTGTTTCAAGTACAGGGTGGTCCACATTTATCGCCTCAAAAGTAAAAGCTTATTACTCAGAAAGTATACATCTAATTTCAATGATATATTGAATTGGCTATTGTTTGAGTCTTATTTATTTATTGTTAAAAATTGCAGCATTCCATAAGCACTAGAACAAAGTTACATCCTTTCAATTGAAAGCCCCCAAGTCATTAGTGTTCAATAGTAGGTCTACCGGTGAATCTCTTCAGGTTCAGAAACCTCACGTGAATTACCTACATCAGGAACTGAGACAGTAGACTCAAACTGAAGAAATTTCCATATTTTCCCTGCACAAATTTGCTCTCTTCAAATTATCAAGCCAAAATGGCAATGTTCGTCTTCTGCAGGATACTGAGGTCACCCATGACCCAGACAATCCCTCACAATGCATGGAAAACCACGAATGAATTGCAAATTTCAGAAGGGATTATGATATTTACAGGCTTTAGTTGCACGATGTGGGTACTTTTTTTTGGTGTAAGTTCTATTTTCTTATGGAATGCTGAAACTTTCCACAATGCAAATATAGGGAATTGGCTCTCGTTAGAGTCATATACAAGTCATTACTCTGGAAGTGTACATCCAATTTTAATGTGCTTTACTTTTGGGGAGACAATTGTGGACCACTCTGTACATGTGATGGCCTCAAGACAATTATCAGTACCTGTGCAGTCCTGGATTCGAGATGCATTTCTTTTACCTTCTTTGTCGTCTTTCGCAGGTGTTTTGGAGAATCGGTGGATGGACCTGGCCCTCCTTGGTGACTCCTCGATCATCGAGTGTCGCTTCCCTGGCAGATCCATCTGTGTTCCCCCTCTGCCCAAGGCCCTTTCATACTCGTTTTGTGTCTTCTTTTCATTCTCTTTTCCCCAATGATCTTCGGAAAGAGATCGACGTGAAAGTTGTATCGGTTGGCCATCCTTTCTCCAAGCCCATTAAGTTTTTTTTTACGTCTTCCATGTCAGTACTGAAATGAAAATAAAATCAATATTTATTTCCTACGCTGTCATGTTTAATGCAATCATCTTCAACACGCCGATGAAGGCAAGAAATGGTGCAAGTGGTGAGACGGTGAGTCGAGGTCGTGCAGAGATTCCAGGATTCATTTGTGGAAAGGTAATACGAACGGTTCCTGCAATCGTTTCTCAAAACATCATAAGACGTTGACGTCTGTCTTGATATCGATATACTGTTAGTGTGGAAAGAACCAAAGGAGCCGACTTGAGTTGGAAGGCAAAAACCAGGGACTGGCGAAATAGATTTCTCCAGGATCTTTTAATACAACCGAGAATCGAGGAAGGGACGAGTTCATCGCTGTCACGAGGGGTGGTCGGATGGTGGAAGAGTCCATGGAACCGAAGGGAAAGGGGAGGTAGGCAGGGGGATGACGTCACTGAATTCGACCTTGAACGCACACTTTTTTCCTGGTTTGGAAAAAGCGGTAGGAGGCGAGATTTTCGCCTTTTGCCGGATCCCCTGCAACGTCACGGATCTGGACCCATTCACCTTCGGTTGACCTTGACGCCCGAAAAATCCGACTTCCCCTCGAAAACGAGTGGACTCGTCCATCTGCCTCGTAACAACAGAAATACCCAGTTTTATCGGCAGACTGAATCCCATTTTCCCATAGCCGAGCGGGAATACGTTCGTGCCGAATTCTTCATGCTCAGGATCGAATCCATGCAAGGAATGTTTCTCATTTTATTTTTTTGTCTCTCTTAATTCAATTTCAAGTTCAAGCATCCTTCCTATTTCACTCTCCTCGCACATTGTGAGCAGTGGACATTTGCATCTCCTCGGAAACCATCTACATGGGTAAGTCATTTATTCGTTCCTGGAGAACTAACAACATGAAGGAATATTCTCCCGGATGAGACAGCAGCCAACACGCAACGAACGATGGAGCGCGACGACGCACCCGTCGCCGTTCGTTATCCCGATTCGTCGTCGTGACTCTAAATACTGTATAAGTGAAACGTGTTAGGAGCTTGAACCATTTAATAGCAGATGCGTTGAGAATCGTAGTGCATTGTGCAGATGCTCGGTTGGTGCATAATTAATTATTTGTTCAATCTCAGACTATATATATATATTTTTTTTTTTTTCAGTGGAAAAACAGTGAGACTTTGGCAGAAGAACATGAAGGGTGATGCACTTGAACCATGCGAAAGCCAGGTCCTTCGTGCGATGTCTTCCGGTCCGGAACCATTCTCCCATGAAGCGTTTTGCGGATTCAACAAAGTGGTAGTGGATCCATCAGATGGCAGAGACGAAATGGAGATACTCCAGGCAAGCATATTGTGATGGATCATTCGCTTCCAAGAGAAACTCCCTCCCCTGTGAATCGGGAGTTTTGTAAAGGTATCAGGATGTTCTAGATTTTATTCTCCTCATGGATAAACCTTAAACAATCTTCTGCATCTGGGTCATATATTCATTTAGAAGACTCCATACATTGCAGGACGTAGTGGAAACTCAAAACGGATCAGAATTATCTTCGCCGCATCCTAACTTTGAAATCAATCATTGCTGTCATTAGTACGACACAGACCTCTATAATAAAAAAAAGTTCCAGGCAGCCAGACGATGTTCTCGATGGTTCGCGCAATCGGGTCGCGTGGAAACGGGGAGTGAGCATCAAGTTTAGGATATCAGTTTAGGATGCGGCATTTCACGCGTACGCATAGCACCCTTGTCTATGCGGCCGCGAACAGCCTCTCTCCTATCGTCTACTATGGATGCGTCATCCGCCATGGCTGGAAGGGAAGTTTTAGTCGTAGACTGGCCCCCGACTAGGACGGAAAGCCGTACGTACGTACCGAGTCGAGTCGTCCAGTCGCTATGGATACTGCGGACAGACGGAGGGGAATAAAAAGCGACAGACTATGGCGAAATTGCAGATAAATATTCCCCTACGATCAAACATTATATCAACAGAGGCAATTTCATCATTTCGTCATCAGTCTTCGATCCGCGGACGTCTGCCGCCACTCAGTTCACTGCCACGATGAGATTATCGAGAAAAAAGAATCTCCAGCCACAGAGTGGTTTTATTCTCTCCCTCCGAAAGCCACTACTATTTAACCCTTTCAGACCTGGCGTCCATTCCAATGGACATCTACTTTCATTGCGTCTATGGTAATTTCTTAGGATTATCATGACTTTGCGCCCCATAATACACTACAATGGGCGCAATTATCCATGGCTCGATTCCATCAGAAGCCTCCTTTCACCAGTCAATTTGTAATCTTCATTTACGTAATGAAATATAAATATTTTATATATTATACATGGTACGATGTGGTAAATTTATACAAAATTAAAAACGACATATAAAACATTAAAAAATTTAAATTGCAATAGCAAAGGAGCTCAAAAATGCAAATATATATTATTCTGACAGTGGCTTTAATTCAGGTCTGAAAGGGTTAAAAAGGTAAAGCTACACGTGCTCAGATTGGGAGAACCGTTCGGTGATTGTTCCGAATCCTGTATCCACAGAACGCGTGGTACAAGGAATGTTGCATTTTAGTACAGAATGAACAAAAAATATTGCCTCGAACCCATGTCGTATGCCATACAGCACTTAATGCACACTCTTTGAATGACGCAGATGGGAGGCCAGTGAACATCACATCCTCCCCCCCCCCCCCCCAAGCTCACAAATTACAAGGGCTTTATCGATGTTTTGGCTAACACCGGTATCGGCCGCCAGTGTTGCACTATCGTTACTATCGGCCATCGGCCTACGACGCCGGTGCCAACAGGACAGGCAGAAATTACGTGAGGGTGTTCACGGCCGGCCCTCATGTCTTACTAAAAGCCACTCCTGCCAGCCTCAACAAAAATATCAAAAATAACAAAAAATATCGCTCACATTATATTATAGCCATGTCACAGGAACCGGCAGAGGAAAGGAGCGGTAAAGAAGGGGAGTCATCGCGTCTCCACTTTATGTCGTTATGCTTTTGCAAGGGATGCGTCACTTAATGCTCTCAACAGCTGCAATTTATAGCTATCTACCCACTGACAGCCTCATAGATACAAAAAAGGCTGGAGGGGACAAAAAGTGGTCTCTATCGATTCAATGAGGCCAACTGATAAAAAGGCCTGATGGAGGCCATGAGTTAATAGGCGATTTCTTCCACACGCCACAATTGACATCGACACATGCTCCAACACAGCACCGGCCGATGGTTATAAGGGAAAAATGGAATGTCGGTTCCCCGGTCAAATGTGGCCACCGATACAGCCCTAATGACACCATGAGATTCATGAATGTATGTAGTTTCGATAAATATATTTGATTCAAGATTTAACTAACAAATTAAACGCACAAAATTTAAAAAACGAATAAAATCAGCAGTTTCCCCGATTTTGAAAATAAAAAGGATTTTTTAGAAAACAAGAACTTAACTTACTTCCATGTATGTACTTCCCAGTAAGCAGAACATTATTCTGTAGAATCTGCATACATTAGCTTAACAAAGACAGGAAAATTAAAAATCAGGAGAAAACATCGACTGGGCAAGTCAGGGAATTTAAGGAGCGGTCAAATATGTTTAATGTTTAATTATTCGAAACTATAGCAGACACAAAGATAAATAAACCTCCACATGTCATCACTTGATATCGCATTTTCACAGATAACCACATTTTATTTTTTAATTCGAAGACAGAGCCTGACCTGCTGGATTTGAAATGGACCTATACTGCTTTCTTCTACTTTCAAGTAAAAACAATTAAACAAAATGAAAACCATAAAACAAACATAGGCCTCAACTTTCTTTCCAGGTTAGCATCAACTTCTTACGCTCCTGGATATGTATCACACTTTAACACTATCACAAGGCGCGAAACTCATTCAACTGGAGGCTGTGAGCTGAAAACACGACCAACTAGCGGCAAGTATGAATCGCAGCTAGAATATACTGAGACACTAAAGATTCCACTGCTTTAAGAAATGCGTCAAACTCTCACGAGGGAAACTCATAAACTGGAGGCTGTGAGCTGAAACACGGGTCAATTAGTTGCAAGTATGAATCGCAGTAAGAATATCTTCAGACACAGACGATTCGACAGCTCCTGGATATGTATCACAATTTAACATGGTATCACAATGCGGGAAACTCATCCAACTGGAGGCTATGAGCTGAAAACACGACCAACTAGCTGCAAGTAAGACTCGCAGCTAGAATATATTTAGACACTTAAAGATTCCACTGCTTTAAGAAATGCGTCAAACTCTCACGAGGTATCACAATGCTGGACACTCATTCAACTGGAGGCTGTGAGCTGAAATACAGGTCAATTACCTGCAAGTATGAATCGCAATAAGAATATATTGAGACACTGACGATTCGACAGCTCCTGGATATGTATCACAATTTAACATGGTATCACAATGCGGGAAAATCATCCAACTGGAGGCTATAAGCTGAAAACACGACCAACTAGCTGCAAGTATGAATCGCATCAAGAATTTATGGAGACAATGATGATTCGACAGCTTTTTGAACTGCATCACGCTCTCTCGAGGTATCACAATGCGGGAAACTCATCCAACTGGAGGCTATGAGCTGAAACCACGATCAAGTAGCTGCAAGTATGAATCGCAGTAGGAATATATGGCGATCCTGACGATTCGACAGCTCTTGGATATGCATCACACTTTAACATGGTATCACATTGAGCAAAACTCATCCAAGTGAAGTCAGAACGCAGGAACACAGGTCAACTCGCTTGAAGTAAGAGTCATACAAGGAATATATGGAGACAATGACGATATCGACTGCTTTAAGAAATGCATCACGCTCTTTCGAGGTATCACAATGCGTCAAACTTATCCAACTGGAAGCTGTGAGCTGAAACCATGATCAACAGGACTGGCACATTTTGCGAACCAGTGTTCTACAGGGAAATGTAGAACCCAATTACTGAAACCTTGCTAGGTTTTCTAGGAGTTACAATCACGTAACGGATATCCGTAAATTTGGCGATC